TGTATTTATAACAACACTTCTTTTTGTATATAGGGGAAAAAATAACAACACTAGAATTTTGGTTTTTCTTTTATTTTATTGATTCATAACAACAACAACAAGAACAAGAACATCATTATAATAACAAACATTCAAAACTTTGGTTCAGTTCTTTTTGTATGGGAAAAGGTCTCCTCATGTACAAATAGTGTGTTTCACAACGGTTACCACAGGCCATGATATCGTATCCTTTTAGGACCACTTCTTTCAAATAGTCTTTAATACAATCTCCAGCTTTTTCCATCCATTTCCCTTGAACAAAGTGCTTTCGGGTCCCTCTCTTTGGTGAGGCAAGACGTAATTGATTTTCCATTTGAATTCTCCATACTTAGGTGATCTGGGTCCTAATAAGACCATGTGTTTGCTTCTTTGGCGGTCCGGTAATTTCATTCTCTTATACAGGTAGATTTCATTGAGACCTGTTTGTCCTGGATTTTGAGCAAAGAAATCTTGAATACATGTCTCTTTGTTTTTCATCCATTCTCCCTTTAAACTAGTCCCTTCAGGTTCTACTATTTTCCAACGATACTCTGAGCTTAAAAATTCCATGATGTGTGTGCTCTGTCCCTCACTCAGATCAGAAATGATCCTCTTAGGCTTTGGGTGTCTCCTAATATATAGAGGGATGTATCTATTTTTAGATTCCGGGACTTGGTGAATTGGTCTTCTTGACCCTAGGGGTATGATGTATCATGGTAGGACTAGGCATGATGTAACCCACCGAAGAACTCACACAGACCATCCAATATTCTCGATTAGAATCGTGTAAAGCTAACATGACCACACTGGTGATGATGAGGGAAATACAAATGAATAATTGGGCAAAATACACAATTTCTTCTCGAGGAATATTCTCTCCACAAAATTTCCAATGAGATGTTATTTGATGAGATCCGTTTGGGGAATCCATGAATCGAAACTAGGGGGATATCCTTTCCACCGGACTTTGACTTCTTGAATGATTTTCTTCCCGACTCGTCGCTTTTTATACCCCAAGATTTCCTCCACTTCGTACACGTCGTCTTTTTTAATGATCTGTTGTAATTCTTTCTCGTAAAAAGTCCCTTCTAATTCCTCCTGGTTATAATCTTGTACTCGATACACGTAAGGATACCGACCGGGGACTCGTTGAGCAATGGTAAATATTTCCGTGGTCCAGTTCGGTAAATATCCTTTTTCAAAAGTGCGTTTGGCTTTACTGATGCGCACTTTATCTCCTGTTTTAAACTTGGGGGGGTTTTGGTTTAGGTGATGATTTTTCCCCATATAAAGTTTTCCAGACTTTTAACACATTCGAGGGCTTCACTTGAGCTGGAGCTCTTTGGATACTGCGATGATAGGTATGATTGTAAGCATACACTAAATCCGGTAAGACCTCTAAATACCGTCTGGTTTTATTCCGAGTGAAATACCGCCACATGCGTGCTTTGAGGGTTCTCTGAAATCGTTCCACGATACTGGCTTTGGTGTCCGTATTGCGAGTGGTAAAGAAATGAATGGATTTAAACGCCTGTAAGAATTCTCGATTGGTAAATTCTTTGCCTTGATCCGATTGAATGCGGACGGGACGTCGTCCGTCTTGTCGGAAAATCTCTTGTAATCCTCGAATCATTTCTTTTCCCGTTTTCTGTTTTAAAGGCACCACCCATGCATATTTAGATAAGACGTCAATGGCACACAATAAAAAAGTATAGCCGTCATTATGTTTCTTTAAACTGGACACATCGGCTAAATCTAATTGCCATTGTTCGTCCATATCCGTCACTCTGGTCTGTTGTCTCCGGAATTTTCGATGAATGGGTTTATGTAAGGTATAGGTATCTTGCTCTTTTAACCATTCTCGTATGGTGTTCAAAGAAATCTTATGTCCCAAACTTTTGACCTGACGATACAAAGTCTGTATACCTCCATACCCTCTCTTGGGATCGTAATAAATCTCTTTTAAAATGTCTCCCACTTCCTTTGTCTTGGGCAAAGGAAGCCAATTTTCCTCGATTTGTTGTAATCTCTTTTGAAATGGATCTGCTCTGGCTTTGTTTTTCTTCTGGAGGGCCCCCTCTAACCTTAAAATAGGGGAAGGCTTGGATTTTATAGATCGTCTAATAGGGGTCAAAAAAGAAGAAGCATCCTGAAATCCGCTCTCTTCTTCTTCGTCCTCGTCACTCAAAGCCCCTTTAGGTGTACTGATTTTTCCTGGTTTCTGCATGGCTTTTATAAGGTTTTGATTTTGCAAGTAAACCATGGGAGTACGGGTCTCTTTTAAAGCTTGAGCAAATTGTTCTATTCCTTTAGGCACCGGTTGACTTTTGAGAGGTTTAAATCTCATGCTATCAGCCATTAAATCCACAATGTTAGAATCGGGCACTTTTTGACCTCGATAACTGATTTCTCCGTCTTTATCCCAAGTCAAGACTTTGGTTTTCTTTAAATGATTTAATAATAATTCAGCTTTTCTTTGCATGGGTTTATTCACGCTTTGAATGATTTGTTGATCGATCTCGGGATCTGGAGCTGCTGCTGCGGGGGCTTGGGCTAAGGGTGCAGGGTTTTTTTTGGTAGTCGTTGGCTCTCTCGCTTGTTGTAAATAATTCCTATACCGATGAAGTTCTTGACCGTATAAAGCCACTTTTTCTTCTGGAGTTAAATCTTCACGTCTGGTAATCTGGTCCAATTCTTGACCTATACTCAGCGTAGATTGAAATTCCGGAGGTTTGGGGAGTTTACCTTTGAGTTCATTCAACAGAACTTCAGGTACTAACACCATTTTACGACTCATTTTAGAAGGTCCAACAGTAAAGGAGCGGCTGCTGCGAATAAAAAAGGAAAAATACCTCCATTTTGTTGTACTAATAAAGCTCGTCTTTTCTGGACAGATTGAGGTTGAACCAGTCTCCTTAAGATGTGTTTCTTAGGAGCTAGTTTTCGTTTCTGACCCGAATGGAGAGGTAACACTCCTTTTAATAGGTTGTAGACGATCTCACAAATTTTCAGAATACAATCTCCAGAACAATGTTTTAAAATCCCCGTTTTTAAAGACGAAGAATAGTGAGGGTCTGATAACACTCTTAAAAGAGGGGCATGCGCTCTTAATCGCATAGAACATCCCTTTTTCTTCTTGGCCATCTTTGAAAACAATGAAGAGAAGTCTCTCATGTCACTCCCTTTTATACTCTTAGGGAGGGGCATACATTCCGTGTTTGTCGCTCTCGTGTTTATCTCTCTCCCTGACATAAATTTTTCCACAATATCGGCATTTATATCTCAGACCTTTAGGAAGTTGAGGTGTCGAGGTTGTCAAGGGTTGAAAACGTGTGATTTTAGGGACATGAATGGGAACTTTAATTCCAGGGGAGGAGGAGGAGGAGGGAATGCCCACATTCACTCGAGGAAACACTTCTAAATCGCTGGCTCTTTGACTGCCTATGGGTCCCATAGCACGATCCATTCTCAGTTCTGCTTGTTTCTTGAGTAACTCTCCTATGGTCTTTTGTCTTTGTTCCTTATAATACTGATTGATTTCGTTTTTTAAACTTTCGGGCATGGCTTTACGTTGAGCTAGAGTTTGAGGGGTCCTTTTTGTCGCTGCTGTTTTCTTGGGTGGGGCTTTTTTCTTCTTAGGAGGGGCTTTTCTCTTCTTGGGAGGGGCTTTTGGCTTCTTTTTTCTACTCTTTTGAGCTGCTCCTCCGACTCGGACCATCCAATCTGGAAACACTCTTTGTTTCTTATTATCGACTCTTACCACTACACTCTTTAAACGACGAACCCGTCGTTTTTTAGGACTATTCCATTTGAATAAATGACGAATGATGACTCCACCTAGAAATCCAGCTCCTCCGCGTTTTAAAATAGCTGTTTTCCTATCTTCGTCACTGGCCGATTGATCGGCAATGATCTTTAAATCTTGGCGATGACGATCGATAAACTTTTGAGTCAGTTTATTGATAGGTAAGACCCCTTTCATTAAATTGCGAGCTCCCATGGCAAACCAATTCAATAAGGCTTTACGCCCTAATTCGATTAAATGGGCTCGCTTGGTGGGATCTCGTTCCCGCTGTAAACGTCGTAAGGTTCTCACTAATTTACTCTTGGCTGATGGAGCCATGATGAGAGTGAAATGAATAATGACTCAGAAGAGTGGGAAACACTTTTATTTATACTCTTGAGGCATGTGTATAGTCAACAATTCAAACATTCGACTTCTCAATCGGTATTCGTCTGGGGTCTGGGGACTCAAATCCACGAGAAGATAGCCGTGAGGTACCTGGGCGGCTTCTTGATAAGCTGACATCAAATGAGGCAAAGCTAGCTGACGACTCAATACACTGATCTGAAATTTTTCTCTGGGATTTTTGAATAAGACTAAATAATGAGCATTCAAACTAATGGTGCGATGAGAGGCAGCTCGATCAAATAAATTCTGAGTGATGTAAATCACACTGGTATTCCGATGATGGGCTTTACGGGTAAACCAATCCACAATCGATTCGATGGCTTTTCCTCCCATCATGTCGTCAAAAATGAGTAAATGGGGCACACTTAAATTGGCTACTAATTTCTCGTCGTCTTCTGGAATATTTCGGATGAAAGATACCTTCTCTTTTAAAGAAGTGTAAGCGGGTTGCCATTCCCGATAACACCAGACGATCTTTTCGGGCCTGGGGGTGATCCAGTCTAGATTGTTCACTAATGACTTGACGAATTCTGTTTTGCCCGATTTCGAGGGTCCAGCAACTACCATGGTAAATTCGTGTTTCAATTGAAAAGAGGGGAGGGGTGTCTCCTCGGAATACATGTTGATGAATGAAAGAAAAGATGGGTTCAGGGTCCTATTTATAGTGAACACAGAAATCTTTTTTTTCATTTTTTGAAAATAAGAATGTCTTTTTTATAGAGAAAAAAAAACACAGAAAACATTCAATTTTTTTTATTTGTAACAACAAACAAACAAAAATATCAACATATCAATAACCATAAGGTAAAGTGTTATAATTCTCTACAATTTGTCTCTTGTCATATACAATTCTATACGTTTTCTCTGAAGGTTTGTTCACGAGTTCATGATCACGGGTCCTCTGGATTTTGGGATAAGGGACTTTTACTTCCTCTATTTCTCCCTTGAGCATTTTTTCTAAAGTGTCTGGGCACACCAACTGAGAGGTTCGATGGTTGAGAGTGATCCCTTTGCATTTAAGGGTCTCGGTTCCTTTGCCCGTCCGGTAAGCATAATTTTTAGGACCTGCCGACATGAATTTGGTGATGTGATCCCCGTCTAATTCGTCGGTCCATTCTCCTAAACTATGACCCAAGGTAGGATTAAAAGCTCCTTCCCTATGTTGGTAAATGATACTGTCCGTATCGAAATAAAGGCCCCGTTCTTCTAAAGGTTGTAAAGTCTCGTAGAGGTGTAAGCGGGCATAGGCGGTGGTAAAACAAGCCAGGATCACGTTTCCAAAGGGACATTCTTCGACGAATTCCTCTTTGTCTTGAAAATTCACTAGAATCTTGTCTTCATTGGAATCTTCTTTATTGACTAAGAGTCGCATGCCCTTGATGTCGAGAGTCGAATTTTGTAAGAGTTGGTGTAATTCCTCTGTTTCGTCCAAGTATCTGACTTTGGGTAATAACAATCGTTGAGCAAATTTTCCCCACAGACAATTTAAAAAGAGTTTAGCAATGGTTCTTCTCACTGGATTCTTCTCGATACTGATCCTATCCATCATGAATCCTTCTTTGTCGAAGATTTGTCGAATGTAATCTTGTTCTTGTTCTGAGGTCTTACAGTCGGGGGGAAATCCGGACGCTTCCTGTTTGATTTTGAGGAAGGTATTGATGTAGTCTTTAAATAAGTCTTGACTGCTTTCTTTAAAATGCCACACTTCGTAAATTCGCTCTAAGGTATAGCCCATGTCTAGGGCTTTATGTAATTCGCTCGTCACCCAAGTACCCGTGAGACTACGTTCCCGATCGGTGTGTTGACATGGATGTTGAGAAGTAGAGTCTTGTTGTTGGGCACACGTGCGACATAAGGGAAATAATAACTTACCTCCCGTCCGATAAGGTAATACGGGGTGAAAGAGGCCTCGGGGTGGTAAGACCCGACAGTGAATGAGACCGAAATAACTTCTCACGTCCTGGAAGTCGTCTGTGATGATCTCGGGATGCCCTAGGGGAAAGGGTCTGTGTTTCAACACGTAAGGGTATAAGGAACAGACGTCCACGTATCTCATGTCCCCTTCTTCACAATATAATTTAGTGGCATTGGTCCGGCCTCCGTACAGCCCTTCTCGAGGTTTCAAAGGATCGGGAATGTCCAGATCTCGTACAAATTGCTGTAAACTCTCATCTTGTTGCACTTGTTGATCGAAATCGTGCTCCCAGATACTACACACGTTGTACCCCATGTCCTCTAAATCCGCAGTCCTTCTGAGGGTTTTCTCGTGTAATTGTTGGTAAGTAAATTGGGTCCGGTGAGGATGAGTTTCCGTCTGTAAACTGGGATAGCAAGTGGGGCATCCGTGCCAATAACACCCGTAAAATTCGTAGACGGTACGAGTCGCTTCCTGGTATCCGTCGACGGTATAATTTCCGATCGGGACTTCGCCTCCGTTTCTGGCATGTCGTATGTGACATCCACTCTGATGACTCATCCAGGTGAGCCACCGACAGGCTTTGGCCGAATATCGTCGTGCCGGTTCATACCCGAGGTTGGGAATGATGGCAATGGTGTCTTTAGGCATGAAATTTCGACGGTAGGCTAAATTAGCAGCACTGGCAAACGTGATGGATTCCTGGAAAGGGTCCACGTTGACCAACTTCTTGAGGGTGCTTCTAAACTGTGCACAGCATTGGCGTAAAATGTCGACGTCCGAGATACAATACCCTACAAACTCTTTCTGGAAATCAAACACTTTTCCCCTCTGTTGGTCGTACCATTGGAAAAAAGCTTTTCGTCCACTGGTAGACATTTCGTCCGGTTTGTAGAAAGCTGCCGGTGGATAAGGTCCCACGTAATTCTGGTTCTGTTCCGTATTAAAAAAGTGAGGGAAATAACCTTTCTTCAATTCGTTCAATCCGAAAGCGGAGGGCATCTTGGCCAAAGGAAACGTTAAGAAACTATACGAGTCGATGAATTTGAGTCCAGATATTTCAAAGTACAAGATCTTACTGCCGTTCATGATCACGTTAGGTTTCAGGCAAGAGGAATGCACCAGGTGATTCAAAATGAATTGTCCGTCGTAGCCTTTGAAGTTATGGGCGATGACGATGGCCTCGTCGTGTACTAAAGTGGAATTCTTAGTACCTGAAGTGGGTTGAAATAACCAGTCCATGAACTTCTTTAAGGTGTCTGGTCCTTGAAATAGGTGCTGACGGGGTCCCATGTGTTGACAATGAGGACAGGGTTGGTCTATGGGTAAGTCATCGCAATGTTGACAGACGCGATGTGCCACACACAGATTAGGGACGTGAATGCCCGATTCCTGAGTGCATTCGAAATCGAAATAAATGTAAAACTCTAAGGTGTCTTCTCCCTTCTTCTTCTTCTTCTTGGGCTTCAGTTGTACGTAGCACCGATGATCGGCATCGACGATTTTCTTACAGATCTTACACTGTTTCTGATCTCCGCATTTGTGATGAGGTAATAATTTCTTAGGTATCCAGGACTGACACTTCTCGCATAGCCCCATTAAATTGCAGACAGTAGTGGTGGTCTTCTTACTATGAGGTCTTAAATGATTTTCGTAGCAGGTCCTGTTCTTAAACATTCCTTGGCATTCCTGGCATTTAATCTCGATCCCTTCATCGGGACAATTAGGGTGATGTCCTAAACAAAAGGTACAGCGATGAGGGCATTTGGACCGATGGTCTGTGACATTCCTGTACCCCACGTCGCAATGATCACAGTAATATTGGTTCCCCGTCACTCCCGGCATGGATATGATGGCATCGCAATGACGGTTGTCTAACAAAATGTTCAAACAAGTTCCATCTCCCCAGCCTTTGAAGATGCGCTCTAAACAGAGTTTAGTGGAAGTAGATTTGAATTGAAATATTTTCAGACGATACTGAGGAGCTAATACCTGTTGTAATTTTGGCCACTCTGCATTTCCACAAGCTTGAGTAATATCACATCCGGCCTGTTCCATGAGGGCTATGGCTTCGTTCCTCTGATCCAAGGATTTCTTATCTCCTGACCTCATGCGTTTCCATCGTTTTTCCCATTCCGGGTCTGGATGTTCCGGTTTCTGACTGTGTAATCGAGTGACGACGATGGCTCTAGCCAAACAAAATTTATCATGGGGATTGACGATCCGAACGATGGATCGTTTATTGTTCTTGAAAGCTTCTTTATTCACTTGTAGATGTTTGGTTCTGTTTCCACCACTCCCCTGGGGATTCTCGATGTGTAACAGATCGAATTCCGTGGAGCCGTCGCTCAGTTTGAACTCCTTTTTGGATTGTTGCACGTCTTGTATTTTTTTTAAAATGACGTCTTCGTTTAAATCTTTACATTGCATAAACTCGTACGAAATGTCTGATTCCAGAGAATGGTGATGAAGGTTCAGACGGAGGTAATCGTTAGGATCACACTGCATTTCAGATTTGAAGTCTTGTAACATGTTTGTGAATAATCGCCGAAGGAAAGCTGTGTTTTCTTCTTCTTCTGGAAATTCATCGAAATGAACGACATATCTATTTTCATGCGCTTTAAATTTTGGAGAGGTCTTTCCTTGAGCTAGTCTCATATGATAATACTCAGAAATGGGTTTAGGTGGTAAATCTATTTCTCTCTCGGTACTTTTTCGTTTCAATATTCGTTGAGCCTGTACCTGTTTTTCTCTAGTAGAATCCATGTCTATCAGCTGATGGCTCTGAGGGTAAAATGAACCCAGAGTGAAAGAAAAACCGTATTTATATACAGTGGATGACGTCACAATGCATAGGTAAGTTTATCGTACTTTTTGCACACGGCACTTTATAGATGATGCAAACAGGTAAATATAAGGAAAACACAGGTAAAAAGTATATTTCTTTTGCACACGGCACTTTATAGAGGATGCAAACAGGTATATATAAGAAAACGTAGGTAAAACGTATTTTTGCACACGACCCTAAAATAATCCTATAGTATATAAACCATAGCTAAGAGTACCCTGCGCTCATTATATCCATCATGCCTTTCCTGTGGAGATTTGTGTATTGGATTGATGTAGAAAATCATGTTTGTCATTACTGTGATCAGAACCAGGAATATAAAGAATTCACAGTGTATTTCCGGAATGGAATTGCACACAGGATTTGCCAGCATTGTGAAATGCCATTTCCACACTGGTTTATATATGATGAGCCTTCCAGGAGACTTGTGACAGCTGGTGCCTTAAATATTTCATCTGGAAGAAAGGAATTGAGAAGTGAACACAGGAACAAAAGGAATGTTTCAGGAAAAGACTCAGGAAAATGGAAATGCGGACAATGCAGGCAATATCCGTGTTGTGAAAAATGTGTGAAGAAAATCTTGAGACTTCCTACCAGAAATGTCCCTTATGCAGATACAGTGGAAATTAAAATCATTTTTTGTATTTTTCATTTGTGAATAAAAATTGTAAAAAAAAAAAAAAAAAAAAAAAAAAAACTGGTGAGGTGAAGTGGAGGTGGAGAGTTTCCCAGCCAATGGAAGTAAGACATAGTGTCAAAAAAAAAGTTTGGCATTGATTGACAGGTGCCATGACATCATTATTCAGTCAACTTATCTTGTCAATGAAATTCTGGCATCTGGCATTGATTACAGGTGTCATGACGTCATAATTCAGTTAAATTCAATTCCTGAATGAAAACGTCATTTTCTTCTATGAAACATGTATGAAACATATATTATTTTGAAGATATTCACATTAAAACAATAATCCAAGCCACTTTCACACAAGAAATAAAAGATTTCATTCAAGAATCGATTTGACACGTGTCATTTCATTCATAATGACAGATGTCGGGAAACTTCACTCAATGACGTCATAGTATTGACAAGTTGAAAGACAAGAGAAGTAAGCATGGCTCCTCCTTCCAAGTCTCTCTTTCCTAAGGGTGGTTACATTCAAAACAGAACTTTACATATAAATCATGATTAAATGCAAAGATGATCTTCATAGGAAATGTAAACAAAAATAAGACAAACTTACCTGTGGAATAGGTTTGTCAGAGAGGAGATTTCAAAAATGAACATGGTCTCAACATTCACATGACAAGAATGCATCAGGATGTTTACTTCTATGGTCATAGAGAAATTGAGCTTTATACAAGAAAATTTTCATAGCATGACAATCATCATAGAAAAAGAGAGAAAAAACCAAAAAAAATAGTCCTATATTTTCTCAAAATTTAAGTTCACTTCTTAGAAACAAAAGTGAAAATGAAACTTTAATTTTACAAGTGTATGATGTAATAATGCATAGGTAAGCTCGTGACTAGACTGTGTACAAAATCGTTTAGTAGGACACGGTAAGTCCAACCTATTGCAGCACACGGCCCAAAACAACCCAATGGTATATAAACGTATGTATTTTCATTCTGAATAAATTTCCCTTGTTATTGTATTGTGCGTTATTTGTTATTGTTTTTAGTAAAAAATTCAGGTTGTTATTGTTTTCAGAAAATCCAGTTTGAACTGGTTAGGCTGTCTAGACTGTGAAGCGTGACGTCATAATGACATTCTTGAAATGTTTTGCACACGGCGCATTTACCTGTGCAGTTAGCATAAACAAAACGTAGTACCCACGTATAGTAAAAAACACAGTGTTAACACACCATATTTAGGGGACTGTGTACTGACCCACCTTAGCCCCACCCCCCAGGGTTAGGGTTAGGGGGTTAGGGTTAGTTAGGGCTAGGGGGTTAGGGTTAGTTAGGGTTAGGGTTAGTTAGGGCTAGGGGGTTAGGGTTAGGGGGCTAGGGTTAGAGGGGTTAGGGTTAGGACTGCACTCAGTTGACCCCTTATCCTCACAACCAATCAGAACTGATCACGTAATTTCTCTCAGCCAATCAGAATGCAGGGCTATCTAGGCCCCTTATACTACTTCAGTCTTTTCGAAAAAAAAAAATCCCATGCGAAAGAAATGACAAATATTAAAATAGTTAATACCTGTTAAAGGCATCAAATAAATAAATGTCACCTGAAAAAATAAGAAAAAGTGACAGAACGTTGTGTAAAACTTCCTTCTGGGAAAGTTCTACCAATCCGATTTAAACACATTAACATGATAAAATCCTAATCATAACTTGACAACGTCCATTTTATCCTTCTTACAGGACATTCTAACGTCAAATTGTAATAAATGTTGTTTGAATGTTTCAATGTGATCAAAACAGCTTTATAAAAACGGTAAGTTTTTTTTAAGTTTCGTTTGGTATAAAATACCGGTAGATGATTTTTATGCAGTTTCACATTTAGGAATTTATCCTTGGATACAGTGAAATATCAGTATCTCGAAGTTGAGGGGACCTGGACACGACTTCGAGATATCCGGGGGTTCGAGATATCCGAAGTTATCTTCCAAAGTCGAATCAATAATTTCCCGTTTTTTCTTATGCATCTTCATGCATACATGTAAAAATATCCTGTATTACCAAACATGTAGTCTTTACGGTTAAGATTCAAGCATATTCGCAATAAATATTAAGAAAAACAATGTTGGTTTTTTCTTTATCGTGTATAATTTTAAAACAATTTAATATACATGCCTTATTGCATATACAGCGATTTTACATTTTCCAGGCCATGCTTACGTGGTCAAACGGGATGTATCATTAGCGTTATAGTTGAAGAACCTTTTCCGTAAGAAAAGAAAAAGACGAATTTTTTAAACTTTATTTGATGAAATTTAGAGCAAAATGTTATTTAGAGCACTAAAAAAATAATCAGTATTTAAACTGTAAACTTGAATACTATTAATAGCTTACATGTATTACATTACAAAGTAATACAAAGGAACATATAGTTTACGAAACTAACAATGCAAATGGCTGTCAAAGTTATCTATTTGTACGCATGTAATCAATCACTGCACTGTGCATTACGCACTGCAACTTCACTGTTTAAGTTTATATTGAAAAATCTTTTGTGTTTTATGAATTTACGATTTTAATTATACAGATTAAATGCAATATCGGTAATATTGTCTGTATTTAATTTCTGAAGTACTGCGAGTGGTTTTATCGGTCATAGACTACACCAACACCCAAGCTGTCATACCAATTACCGTGTCACAGATACCCAACATGAGCTTGGGATTAATTAAGATTCCCCCGGTTTGGAGGTGTTAATTAATAGTCACAACGCCATGTGTGTTCAGTAGACCGACGAAAAATTCACTGCACTTCGAGATAAGCCAGGTAAAAGTAGGGCTGGGACTTGGAATATACTTCGACATAAGCGGGGTATTCGAGATTACCATGTTCGAGATATCAGGTGTTTTTTAAATCATATATATATAGAACACGGCCGGGACCGGCGATTGACTTCGACATATGCATAAGCGGAGTATTCGAGATATCCCATGTTCGAGATACTGACATTTACCTGTATTTTTTTTTTCTGTCAGATAAGAATTGAATGAAAAATAAAACGTATCGTCTGTATATCAGAGACGGATTCTTTTAATATTTGGCTTATTTTTCAATCTTCTATAACCATTTCCGGGAGGATCGTCAATACCAGTACTTGTCCACGAACATTTGAAATATAACAAAAAGTAATAGTCCAAAATATATCACGCAGGGGCATCTTTAAAGAATTGTTTGATTTCTCTCTACCTATCGACTGACATGAACTGGGCGATAAAAATATCTTTAAAAACACCATTAACATGGAAATTTCTGGAGAGAAAAGAATTGTCTCAGCCAACTTTTTTCATCCAATTTTTTCATCATTAGTCATTATTATATTAAAGTTGGCCAATCTTGGCTCAGTGTAATTTTTTAAAAATGTTGTTTCAAATATGAGTAATATTTAGAATTATTTGCACCTATCTAAGATATAGTTAACATTTATCCAAGAGTGTGAAGTTGGATAACTTTTATCAAACCTGCAATAAGAATGTGTCCCTTATGACTTGCCCGAAGGTAAGTGTTCTTTTACTGCGATTGATGTTAGAGCAGTGAAAGGCATTATGATCACCCATTGTCCGTCGTCCGTTTGTCTGTCCGTCCGTCTATAAACTTTTCACATTTTCAAATTTTCTCAAGAACCACTGAGCCATTTTTGACCAAACTTGGTACAAAACATTCCTGGGTAAAGGGAAATTTAAATTGTTAAAATAAAGACCCAAGTCCCCTCCAAGGGGCGATAATTAAGAAAAGAAAAAATAGGGTGGGGTCATTAAAAATCTTCTCAAGAACCACTGGGCCAGAAAAACTGAAACTTATGTGGAAGCAGGGGGTAGAGCGGGGAAACAATGGGGAATTCAAGTTTTACATAGAATATTCAGGAAACACTTAAAAAATCTTCTCAAGAAAAGCTGAAACTTATGTGGAAGCATTGTTGGCTAGTGTAGAATTTAAATTGTTAACATTATGACTACGCGGGTTAGGGCGGGGCCACAATAGGAAATCCATTACATAGCAATAAATAGAAAATTATTTTAAAATCTTCTTCTAAAGAACCACAGAGCCAGAAAAGCTGAAACTTATGTGAAAGCATCCTAGGGTAGTGAAAAATTTAAATTTTTCAAATCATGACCCCCGGGGTAGTGCGGGGTAACAACAAGGAATCCGAGTTTTTCATAGTATTGTATAGGAAAAAACTTTTATAATCTTCTTCTCAAGAACCACTGGGCTAAAAAAGCTTAAACTTATGTGGAAG